TTAACTTAAAATGATCTTTGCAGCAGTTCTCTCTTTATTTTCTTATTGTTATTAATTTTCTTTTGTACTTCAACAACATAATCGATTGCTAAAAATTAAGAATTCAGAAAAGCAGATTGTATATGTTTTTTTCAAGATAGGCAGGTCAGTCTGTTTTACAACCAAAACAGTTCTAAAATATCCATCTTCTTCTCTCAGAGGATACTTATTTATGAAAACCTTCATAATCAAAATCCATGATAATTGTACATAAAAAGAAAGATAAATATTGTGTAATTACGTGCTATTGTATCGATTTATCGATGTATATTTCGTTAAGGTAATAGAACTACTCAAAAAATTACATTCGTTTTTTTTGTCCACAGTAATTATAGGCCATGTGCGTCATATAAATGAGAAGTAATAGATATGTATTGATGTTTTGTATTTTGTTGCTTGCTCGTTTTTGCATTATGACGAAAGAGAAAGAGAAAAGGATTGTTTATGCATCAGTCAGCCGTACAGACAAGAAATTATGAGACCCTCTGCTCTTAGTATATATTTTTAGTCATTTGCTTTTATTTGTATTCACATTAAATATAACTGACTATTTTGCTTCGGTTTCGATCGTATTTAGATATTATCTCACGATAATTACTGCTGTATCATTTGTATATTGGCCAAATAAGTTGAGATATACTCTTGAATCGTCATTATCTATAGAAGTTGTAGATTACAATAAATATTATCTGTTCATATTACAAGTGTATTTTTTTTAAATTCATTCTTTCTTATAGATGCAAATGACTTCTATTGATGATGCTAGCTCGATCGATGGTTCGTTTTTTTGGTAAAAAATTTGGTTGTCTCGATGTCGCCAAGAATCTAGATTCGACTTTAATTGAAGCGATTAAAATATATGTTCCTAATAATCCGACTAATGAAACAACATCATATGCAGCGATTACAGAAACTGAATATGCATTTTTCGAGGGTGTAGATGTGGGTGCGGATATAAAAATCATACACCAGTGATATAGATACCCACACCCATCCTCAAGATGTTCTTTTCTCTCGTTAATGAAGTGTTTCTTTGAGAATCCCTTTATTTCTGTTTGACGAAAGTTTCGTCACAGAGCTGAGAAGGTTTTTAATTAGCAATAGGAGAACAAAGCGGAGGATTAAAGCATCCAATTCTAAAAATAACGAAAAGAGTAAAACGATTTATTACATACCGAGAACTCTTGTTTAGAAACGAATTATCCGTAAAGCGTTTTCGTGTTGGTGTATATATTGGTACGTGGATCAACCGACACTACACGACACGCCCAACTCAAACCATCTCAAACCATCTCAAGGATGTATGTGTGAGTGGAGTAGGTATGGGTTCAGATATAGATGTGAATATCGGCGTGATTTTTATTATTCTTCTCGTACTCAGACTTAAACCCAACGGAGAACAAACTGATTTCAACAATCGAAAATATTTATAATCATGTGAAAGTACGGAAATCAAGAAATCAGTTTGCCCCCTCTTGCCAGTATCTATGCGCTCATATCCATATCCTCACTCACTTTCAAAATAGAAAGTATTTGCTTCAATAAAATAGTTTCTATTTGAATGTATTTCTATTTATTCTCGTTTAGATTTAATTTTATTATTTTTTCTCAATAGAGTAAACTGTGAGATTGTACAATATAATATCTCAATATTGATAAGAAATCAAATGAGTTCAAGACCAAAACTATACACACGTTGTCGCAGTCAAAACAACAAGATTTCAATTAAAAAGATTAACCTTGTCATTTTTGATATTGAATTCAATCAATCGATGTTATCTGAATCAACTTTTGAAGTGAAAATATTTAATAAAGATGAAATTGATTTATTGTTTGAATATATAACTTCAGATGTTAACGAAATTCATCTATTTGCTTCAAATCTTCTAGGTAATACGTTTGTCCAATCCATTCATGATTATCCACCAATAAAATCAATTTATATACTTTGTAAAGATCAACAATATACAAATTATTCAAATATATTAACAAAATTACAAGGTATTTTTGATGATGTAAATGTGATGTGGCAACAATTTCAATATGATCGTAATAAACTTTATACTTATTATGATTTCAAACGAAGTACATTTAAAAATATCGACTCAGCAAGTGTTGAAAGTGTTTGGTGGATAGTTTTTGATAAGATTCTACAACATATTAAACATACAGACATCGCCAAGGATGAATTTATTGAATTTTGCCGAAATTCTGTCGGAGATCGCGAACGCGAGTCCAGAGAGATACAAGAACTGGTTGATTGTTACCAATCGAATCGAGCTATTTATATGTATACCAAGTCTTCTTTTCTTTATCGATTATTAGATCAAACACTTCAAAGAGAAAAAAATATCAACAATATATTTAAACTTCGATTTTTTATCAAGGATCTCATATCACAATTAAGAATCCTCCAATCAGATATACGTGACATCGATGATCATTCTCGCCTGGTGTATCATGCTCTATCGATGCCAATAAAAGAGATCCAAAAACTAAAATCTAATATTGGTAACTCATTGAGATGCAATTCATTTCTATCGACTTCTTTAAATCGCGAGGCTGTAATGATGTTTGTCGAATATTCAGGAGATAATCCCAATATAGGAGGTATACTATTGACAATTGAATTAGACTCCAACTATATTAATAATAATGCAACACCTTTGGGAAATATTTCTCGGCACAGTATTATTCCGGAGGAAGAGGAATTTTTACTATCAATGAATTCAGCACTATTTATTGAATCTGTTGAACTAAATGAAAATAATTTTTGGGATATCCATTTAAAATATACAGATAATCTATGGGATGTTGAGTTTGATGAAAGAAGTATTTTTAGTCGACACGGTGAAGACATCTTTATTCGACATTTATCGAAAGAAAATAAACAATTTATTGCTTTTCAATTATTATTGGATTTTATTTTGAGATTAGAACAAACATCTTATGCCAAATAGGAATTCTTACAGTTTTCTCGATCAAAATATAAAAATAATCCAGCACAATTGAAAGAAATCGATGATTTCGAAAGAAACTACCGGCCTGAAGAAGCTATTAGATGGTTTTCAAAAGATAATTTTCTCTATCGTTTATTGAATAAATCACTTCGTATTGAAATTATTGATGATATTGTTAAAATGAGATATTTTATTAATGATTTACATAATCAATTAGCTGAATTACAATTATCTTTTATTGAATCATTAAATGGAGAAAAAGAAATTATTTTATACCGAGGTTTACTAATGAATTTCGCTCAACTTGATGAATTAAGAGAAAACTTTGACGGTTTAATTTCAATGAATAGTTTTGTATCAGCAACACAAAATGAAAATGTAGCGATTATATTTTCTGGTAATGGAGAACAAATAGGTTCAGATGAAGTATCAGTCATCTATGAAATGTTAATTAATACTGATATTCGATCAACACCATATGCAAAAATTCAAGGTGTCATGCTTCACGAACAGGAAGTTTTATTTTCAATGGGATCAACATTTCGTATTGGAGAAATTGATGAAATACGTTCACGAGTGTATCGAGTGAAATTAACAATGATACATAAAGAAGATGAGTTATGGAATAAATTAACAGCACATCTAGACTCTTAGATATTACACAGAGATCTATATATATTACAAATTTATTTAGTTTTTTTTCTTCAATAATTGAATATATGTCACGAACTTTTTTTCTGATCTGTCAAAGATGTTTTATTTTGATAAGTTGAGAGTGAGAGTGTAATGCTATAACAGTTGACACTCACACCTACATCCACACCCATGCTTAAGAATAATTGTGATATTTCCGATTGATACTTTGAGATATTAGTTTTTACAAAGAAATGTTAGGTAAAAATAACGTTAGCAACCCATAATAACAATGAAATTTGAATATAGTCATGGACTTATTTATATTGTATCGATTTTTCGAAAATCATCTTCACTATGTCATAATAATGTGCATTGGTCGTTCATGGTAATGCATGCAACACAATAAACTCAGTTCATGTATATCACCTTTCTTTTCATCAATCCATCATTGACCAGTTACGATTTGAAGACCTGTGAAAGATTCAATAAAGATTAAGTGAGAATGAACTTAAGATATTATAAATGTGAATTTTGAAACCATCCAAGCAGACCACAGTTTGAAACCATCTTTAGAGTGTGAGTGAAGACATTGATAAAATCCACTATCAATTTATGACAAGCGCTTTAGGAGCTTTTAACTTGCATCTCTTATTTCTTGAATCATTAGGTTTATTTTGCTTACTAATATTTCAGCTTTTATATATACTCCATATGACCTTTCAAACGAAATATCAAAGATCAAAATTCGATAACTGTTTCTAGGCAGTTTGATCTCATCACTCACAAAGCATCTCTTAAATATAACGACTAAATAAGAAAAGTTTTTTTCTTTTCCCACTTTTACAACAAAGTCATGCCATCTGTTTTCATATATTTATTAAAAATAATAACTACGTAATAAAAGCTTTTCTCTCCATTCCAACTTTACTGTAAAATCTTGTCGTTTTATGGTATTTATTAAATATATTAACTAGATAAGAAAAGCTTTTCTTTTTCCATCTTTACAATAAAGTCGTGTCGATTGTCAGGATTTTTTTAAATGATAGATGTGTAATTATAATTATATTTTTCAATGAATGATTTAGTCTATGATTGTTTTCGGTTCTTTTACACTATATACCAAATAAGACAAATACTGGTGAGATCAACAAAAAAAATTAAATATGAATGCTAATGCTAATGGAAACGTTGCGTAGTCATAACACGGAAGTGGAAAAAGGAATGGCTTTTATCATGATAATTGTAATTAGAGGTGTAAGCCGTCGGCTTCAGCAAAAATCGGCTGACGGCTTAAATCTCAAATTGTAATTTACATAGGAATGTCTCCTCTCCTAGCTATGCTAGAAAGAGAGAGAAAAATATTTATTTCAAATATAAATTAGACGATACAGAAGTAAACGCTTTTATAACTTTACCAGAAGGTGAAAAATAAACTTTATCTCGGTAAGGAAGTATACTTCCTATAAACTTTCTCTCTTATAACTACTGAAAAAAGTTAGTAATAGATTTTTATTTTAGTCACAAGTTGCGACATAGGAAAAAAAGAAAGATTAGTGATACATTATAGTTTACGTGAGATTTTCCTAAAATGAACTATATCATCTTCGTTCTAAGATCTGTGTTTTTATATACGATTATAGAAAAATCTCATCTAAAATATAATTTATGACTAATATTATTTTTTTTTCCAGATAAGTAAGAGCCAGCTCGATTTAACTTTTGTATATATAAAATGATGTAAACGTTTTCTGTTCGATATCTCGTTTTCAATATGTTTAAAATCTTTAGATTATTCAGCTTATTTTTTCAAATTAACAATCAACAACACATTTCCTATCCTCATCCATCGTAACAGTTATTGGCTCCTTGAATAAGTAGTACGTATAAACTTATATGATGTATTTCGCTAGCAATGATAGTTCCGAGTTCTATCGATCATGAACTGTCTCCTGATTAATAGCTTCATCATTTCTATATCTCTTTTTTTTAGTGGCAAATATTCATGGCCAAAACTCTGGATGTTGGAATAATTTAAAGGAATGCATTGAATGTTTTAATTTGTTCCCATCTGTGCCACCTTCAACCGATAAATGCGTTCTTCGTGTACAGCAAATAGCAACAATATTATTTATTATTTTACTGATCGCATTATTAACGATTCCTTTCTTCTATGTACCATTTCTGACGGGTACAGGAACTAAGCAAACTTTGACTGTTATGTACCCTAGTCTCAGTAGCTATATTGCATTGCATTACGAGTATCCACTGACTCTGCAATGTCCATGCACACAAATTTCGATCAATTACGAAAACTTTATTGCTATCACTCCTATGTACCATCAAGTATGTGGTAGTGAGTTTGTCAGCGATGCATGGATTCGTCATCTTGCTACGGGCAGTGGATCTACATTTTATGGAGATGACTTTCGAATAACAGGCCCATATGCATTTCGAGCCTTAAGCATGTTTTGTCAGCTAGCTCATAATACGATTGCAAGCAACCTCAATCAGTTCTATTCAAGTCAATATTTCAGTAGATTTGTCATTTCTCCATACCTGTTTGAAGCACAAATTAGATCAAAAGTAGATCAGCTTCTGTCATCAATGCCAGATAGCTTTTTATTATCTCTCAGAATGATTCGAGACACTACTCAAGTTAATGCATTGTTTTCTGCATTGCAAACAAACTATAAACTGAGTGGAAGCAAAGATACGGACAATGTATTCGTGATGGCAAAGAATTACGATGGCTGCAGTTGTAGTCTTTCAGTTAATTGTATTCGTCAATCGTCGATTTATGATTATAATACTATGACAATATTATTCAATGTAACCGGTTTTTACACAGGATGCAATGTGATTGAAGCATTACTTCAATCAACTCTTGAATGCTTTTATAATCAAATCTGTATAAATGAATTACAAAAATATTTACTACCATCGCCAATGTATTCATCAGCTCTAAAGTCGTTATCATCAAATCAGACTCTCAAAACGGCAACTATTGACAATCTTCTATCTAATTTAATGGTAGAACGATGGAATCCGAACGTATCATATGAAAAATATTATGCAGCATGTAGTCCAGAATACTGTTCTTATTATTATAATACTATTGCTGACAATCCGGAAATCAATACATATTACATTGTCGTTCTAATGTTCTTTCTTGTTGGTGGTCCATTATCCGTTTTGAAACTTCTCATATCGGCGTTGACAAAAATTATCGTATTCTACGTTCGAAAATCACCAAGACAGGTCGTTCCTCAAGCGTAAATCATTTATATATAATTACTACTATATAAAAAACAATTATGCTTCGCATGCTTTAAAAAAATGATTAGTTGCATAAACAGAGACATATAATTGGCAGATCAAAGAGACAAAATATTGCTATA